CACAAGGTTCAACAAAGTGAAACAAGGGCCATAACTCTAGACGTTATAAACAGAAATTATTGAAATTAAATAGGCTTCTTCGTTTCACTAATTTAAATAATGCATATAAATTTCACAAAGATAGGATGATAACTGTTGGGGTTAGAGCGTTCACAAGGTTAAACAAAGTGAAACAAGGGTCATAACTCAAGAAGTAATAAACGGAAATTGGTGAAATTCAATAGGCCTCTTTGTTTCCCTAATTTAAATATTTCATATAAATTTCACAAAGATCGAATGTTAACTTTTGGCATTAGAGCGTTCACAAGGTTCAACAAAGTGAAACAAGGGCCATAACTCTAGTCATTATAAACGAAAATTATTGAAATTAAATAGGCTTCTTCGTTTCACTAATTTAAATAATGCATATAAATTTCAGAAAGATAGGATGATAACTTTTGGGGTTAGAGAGTTCACAAGGTTAAACAAGGGCCATAACTCTAGAAGTAATAAACGGAAATTGCTGAAATTCAATAGGCTTCTTAGTTTCCCTAATTTAAATATTGCATATAAATTTCACATAGATCGGATGATAACTTTTGGCATTAGAGTGTTCACAAGGTTCAACAAAGTGAAACAGGGGCCATAACTCTAGACGTTATAAACGGAAATTATTGAAGTTAAATAGGCTTCTTCATCTCACTAATGTAAACAACATATATCAATTTTAAAACAATTGGATGATAACTTTTGGCGTTAGGGCGTTCACAAGAAATTGTGGACGATGGACGGACGGACGGACTGACCGCAATATATGTCCACATTTCTATGTGGGCGTATAAAAAGGCGATTTTTCGTACAATCAGGGGCCATAATTCAAGAAGTTACGATCCAATACGCGCAAATATTGAAAGAAACCAAGATCTTTGGGTTATAAACATGCATTTCAAGTTTCATCAAAATCGGATTAAAATTGTGACCTCTACAGGGTCCACAACCTTGATACACCATATTTTTACACTATTCGCGTACAAACGGCAGCCATTTTGTTCGACAGTTTTGGTCCGATTTTCATGACATTCGAACTCAACCTTCATTACGGTTTTTTAAATCGGATAATAATTGTAACCTCCAAAGGGACCACAAGCTAAAAAGATACACCCACAGCAGCTATATCGTCCGGGCAGTCACATATTTTTACTTTTTTCGGTAATGAAACATTTATAATACATTAAAATCTGATTAAGAGTAACAACTCATTAAGTAATTATCAGAAAACCATTAGAATTTGTTTGGTTTATATAAAGTTCTGCCCCATGCTAACGTTTTGTATACAAAACTTTTAACATCATGGATTTAGCTGTTCAAGTCATAAAGATTCTTGAAAATCAATATACTTGTTCGTCTCAATCGGATATTAACTTTAGCCTCTAGAGCTTCTACAAGATTTTTCAAAGTGATCAAGGGCCATTACTCTGGCAAAAATTATCGGAAATCGCTGAAAATCACTAGGCTTCTTTGTCTCATGACCTTAAACACTGTGTATCAATTTAAAGCCAATCGGATATTAACTTTAGCCTCTAGAGCGTCCACAAGATTTTTCAAAGTGATCAAGGGCCATAACTTTGGCAGTAATTATCGGAAATCGCTGAAAATCAATAGGCTTCTTCGTCTCATGATCTTATACACTGTGTATAAATTTAAAGTCAATCGGATATTAGCTTTGACCTCTAGTGCGTCCACAAGATTTTTGGAAGTGATCAAGGGCCATAACTCCGGAAGTAATTATCGAAAATCGCTGAAAATCAATAGGCTTCTTCGTCTCATGACCCTAAACACAGTGTATAAATTTAAAGTCAATCGGATATTAACTCTAGCCTATAGAGCGTCGACGCCGGACCGCCGGACGGACGGGGGCGACAACAATATAGAACCTCTGGAGGGACCACAAGCCAAAAACGCGATATTTCATACAATCAGGGGCCATAATTCAGGAAGTTACAATCCGATATGCGCAAATATCAAAAGGAACCAAGATCTTTGGGCTATAAATATGCATTTCAAGTTTCATCAATATTGGATCAAAATTGTGACCTCTAGAGTGTCCACAAGCTAAAAACGCGATTTTTTGTACAAACAGGGGTCATAATCCATGAAGTTATGGGCCGATACATGCCAAAATCGAAAGGAACCGAGATCTCAAGAAGATAAAGCTATATTTCAAGTTTCGTTGAAATCGGATAAAAATTGTGACCTGTAGAGTGTCCACAAACAAATTGTGGACGGACGGACAAACAGGGGCAACGACAATATACGTCCACATGAAAATGTGGGCGTATAAAAAAACAAAATTCTGAAGGGTGAGCTAAATCTGCCTATTGCAGGTCTTTCTTTAGCCCTGAAATGATATCTAAATTATTAATTAGACATTAATTAACTCTCGATGGCATTGCTAGCCTGCGATGATTATTGGATTGGGTTCTGATTTGCTTTTCAACTTCCATTCATAATTAAATAATGAAATGGATAATCAAGACTATGTTTTTTATCCTACCGACTTTAGTAATGATCGAGGCTAGGCCGAAAATTCAATCACTAAAATCTCAGTTTATAGTGGATCAATTTGACTGAAATTTTCAGTATCTTTTTTACTATCTAGTTTTTAACCATTATGTGAGAACTGCCAGCTCTTTATCTAATCTCCCATCATAATGTATCTTTAAAATTAAGGCCTATATTTATACTTGCAAACAAAACTTGTTGATATTGATAACTTACTAGGTGTCATTTCTCTCATATACATTCTACGTCGCAACATCTCTTCTGGCTGAAAAAGTCTGTAGCATGGTTCACCGTCATACTTACAAATACAGCTGAAAAAATAATACAAATATTAAATTATTAACATGTAAATTATCATCAAAGTTTTAAATATTGTATGATCAAAGTTTTAAATATTGTATGATCTAATATTGTATGATCAAAGTTTTAAATATTGTATGATCTAATATTGTATTGTTAATTTAAATATATTCAGCCAGCCGTGCCATACAAATTAAATACATAGGCAATGCATCATAGCCCAGGCATAGGCCATACTTAACTAATAATAATATCCTCTGAACTTTGAAGTCAGTGAAGATCCATCTCTCGAGATTAAAGATTCCGAACACGTCACAGGGAATTGAAATTGGCTACAGGTATCTTATAAACAGAAGAAATTAACCAGGTTAATTACCTTATTTTGGAAACCCTTTCCCATTGAACTTCGTCAAAGTTCTCCGGAGCAAACTCAACTGAACATTGCTGGCAAACGTCACTCTTCTCTGCCAAATCGAATACAGTTAGCGTGGGGTTAAACTCTTCATCGGATCTCGAAGAATCATTCAAAGATCTATCTGAAAATCAATTGTCGTCCCAGGCTTCCGCCGTCATATAATCTGATAATAAATTTGATAAATTTGATCGATCTTCCGCATAAAAATTTCACAACTTTGCTATTTCACCTTCCATGTTGGAAAATGTAAATAGAAGTAGAAAGAACTTTACGCATGCGCAAGGTCTATACCACCAATCAAAAACGACTATTGTGTTTACTTGCATAGCAACAAGCCAATTCGTCATGTAGAGGCGGGGGTTACCTAAACTGCTTTGATTGGACCCAGACGTCTATGACATCAATTATCTTACTATATTTGGAAAGAGGGGATCCCAATCGACATTTCCATTGGCAAAATGAAAGGGAAATCCCCGAAGCCAAGGAAATACGAGCGCTGCAAAGTTTGACCTTTTTACGCAATTAGCGATACAATTATTGTCTTTTTTTTCACAGCCTCCACCAAATTGCATTTTTTATATATTTTTAATAATACTTTCACCAAAACTATCTATTTTATTAAAATTATATGCTTTTTCGGAACGTTTAGTGCCAAAATCGAAATTTCAATAATTTTGACCCATATAGTGTATTTTGACGTTTCTGTTGAAATCAGCTCTTGGGAAAAGCGACTGATTTTGAAATGGACGAACACATGTGTGTATTTTGAGGTTTCTGTTGAAATCCACCCGTGGCCTAACAGAAATCAAAGCAAATTAACAATGTAAATATTGTTACTGAAAAGCCCTGATGAAGCGAAAATGTCACAATTGTTGCAGTTTTCAATCAAATAAAATTTCAAAAATATTGGATAATCATTGTTATATGTTAACTAGTGAGAGAGAGAGAGAGAGAAATGGGGTTTAACGTCCACTCGACACAAACTAGGTCATTTCGGGACTAACATATGGTTTAATTTTATTTCAATAATTCGCTTGCGCATAGGGGTCTTTAGCAGTGGGAGGAAACCGGAGGACCCGGAGAAAACCTATGAGGTTGGACGGGCGACCCTACTCCTTGTCACGTACAACCGGGGATTCGAAACCACGCCAGTCGACTCAATGACAGACTTTATGATACAGCGCACGCACGCTAACCATTCAGCCATCCAACCCCCCGTGTTAACTAGTCCCAACAATCTATACATAAAGTTCTATCTTGCTTTGTGTGGAAAAGCAAGGTTCTCTCTATAAAAAAACACATATCTAGACCTTTGTGCATCCCATATAAATAAACTTTTCAAATCCTTAAAAGCATTCCACTACTTTTATTGAAAAGGAGTTGTTGTTGCTGTTTTTTAAGGTATTACAATTTTAATGCCAATTCATTAGGAATTCATTCGTACAACATACATCTGAGTGATCTGACATAGAGTGAATAAATTTGGAACTCTTAAAACAGTCCTTAGGAGACAATTGTTCAAATTAAAGAGACATCTTTCTCTCACTGAACTCAAACATATCAATTCTAATACAAAGTTCTTTTGTGAAATCTGATGAAGATTGGATTCTGGTTGTAAGAGTAATGAGATATGCTGATTGACATGCACATTATTGCTGACGTCGTCCAATGTTTAAATCTTGCTTAATACCTATCTTGATAAATACACAAGCCAAGCAATAAATATTTCGGCCAGGGAACTTACCAATCTACTCAAATCCAAAATGCTATGATCGCCTGATTCTTTATCAAAAGTTTGTTGATTTATCTTGCCTACATCATCTTCCACAGTATGATGATGTTTCAATAGCATTTCCAAATCGCAAGCTTCAGAACGAACTTGAGATGAATTTTCAGGGTCAGTAACTGATATAGGATCCTCAGCGTAATGGGTTTCAAGCAAAAGATAATTTTTAGGAGAATCAGGTATCTCAATGATATGACTCGATTCCTTAGAACACTGACAGCTTGACTGTTCATCAGTATCCAAGTTGTTATGGTCTGATGTTTTATCAAGGTTAGTATCCAAGTTGTCATTAGCCGATGCCTGATCCAGATTAGCATCCATGTTGTCATTGGCTGATGTATGAAGATGAAATGTAGGTTGTGGATGGTTTGAAGTTAAAGGAAGGTTATTGGTGGGTGTATAGTAAACTTTATCTAAAGATGGTGGAACATAGGGGTACAGTATCTTATAAACATGATAACTGCTATTGTTCTGGTTTGTGTCAGGACAAACTTCTAACTGTCTAACCATGCCACTAGGCTGTAAGCTAGGTGTGCAGTGTAGTAACTTGAACTAAAATCAAAAACATAGCCAACAGTGAGGCTGATGTCCCCTGCCGCAATCCCAAAATAAATAGATGGCACATATTAATTAATTGCACATTTATCATTTTGAAAAGTATCGAGCAATCAAACTGATTACCTATACTTAGTCTAAGCAGAAAATGTTCACGATTAAACTCATTCAAGGCCTGAAGTACTTGGTAGTGAAAGTATACACTAAGTTTCATCACTCTCCATAAGTTAGAATCAAAGTTATCTTGTCCCAAAGCAATGACCAATAAAATTGCTTAGTTATGCTGAGCTTTAGCGAAAAATGTTAATCATTGAACTCAGTGAAGACATTCACCTAATCAACATCTAAACCAAGTGTTAACATTCTACCTCAATTAAAAGCAGAGTAGTTATGTTCCAAAGTCTTGACCAATCAAATTGCTTATCGCTACTTGGCCTAAGCATAAAATTCTCATCATCAAACATAGTTAAGGTATTGATATAATGAATCTATACTATACATTTCATCACTCTCACCTAATTAGAACCAAAGTTATTGTGTTCCAAAGTCTCAACCAATCACATTGCTTATCTCGGCTTAGCCTTAGTGGAAAATGTGCATGATCTTAACACTGTCAAGGCATTCACCTAATAAACACCTATACCAAGTTTGAACATTCTACCTCAGTTCGAAGGAGGGTTATTGTGTTCCAAAGGCTTGACCAAACAGATTGAAGTCTCTACTTTGCCTAAGCAGAAAATGCTCAGCATCGAACTGTTAAGGTATTGATGTAATGAAATATACACCAAGTTTCACCACTATCACTCAATTAGAATCAAAGTTGTCAAGCAATAAAGTTTCGATCAATCAAATTGCTTATCGCTCTGCTTACCCTTAGCCGAAAATGCTCATTATCAAACTAAGTAAAGGCATTGATGTGATGAAACTATACACCAAGTTTCATCAATCTCACTCAGGCCTGGAAATAATGGTTTTACGTGTACCTGACAAAATGTCAGGCACTATTGAAATAGTACCTGACATTTCAACTTAGTGCCGGACATGTATTAATAATATCAATAAAAAAGACAAATCAGTGCCGGACAAAATGACAGGCACCAGAGGTTTAGTGCCAGACAAAGCCTGAATCTGTGCCTGACATTGTCAGTGACAGGTGCCTTATTTCCAGGCTTGACTCACACTTAATTAGAACCAAAGCATCAATCAATCAAATTGCTTATCTCTACTTAGCCTTTAAGCAGGAAATGCTCATCATCAAACTTAGTCAAGGTATTGATGTAATGAAACTTTACACAAAGTTTCACCACTCTCATTCAATTAGAATCAAAGTTATCAAGCTCCAAAGTCCAAAGTCTCGACCAATCAAATTGCCTATCGCTCTAAATACCCTGAGCAGAAAATGCTGGATGGATGGACAACAGACAGACATTAATAGTCCCCTGCTTTCTTCGAACAGACAGACATTAACAGTCTGCTGCTTTCTTCGAAAGGTGGGGGTGGGGGGACAAATATATAAAAGACTAGAGACGCAGATGATTAGAATATAAATGTAAGCAACCAATAGGTATGGATTGTATCACGATTTAGAAATTTGCCGATGATTAGAATATAAGCAACATATTTGCATAGATTGTATCAAAATATGGAAGTTTTTAAACACAAAACATGAAGAGTTAATTTCTCCTTTACATATTAAGAGCCATTCCTCGAGAAAACCATGCAAAAGGTCGAAGGTGGGGGTCGGCCGATTGAGTTCATATTTACAGGGTTTGGTCGACCCATAAAGTCTACTCCCCAGCTCAAATCACCGATTTTAGAAATCAGCAGTTTCTGAGATACAGCCCGATTACGTTTTCTGGCTGATTTTCGTCATTTTCCGGTCAAATTTCGACCATTTTTGTAGCATTGCTATAGCCATTAATCGACCAATGGCGAACTAAGTTTTGGTTGGTGATTATAGTCTGGGTCTCACCAGGGGTTAAAATGTTTGTAAAATTTTACTTGTCTCAGGTGACAAGTAGAAATATTTTTTTACTTGTCACTTGTTGGTCATTTCAAGTTGTCACAATTGATTTTTGTTTTTAATTAAAAAAAATACTGGGCTAGAAATTCATGCGAATCTCCGAATCTAATTCGCACAAGAGCTTATGCTGCTGTGAATCGACAATGATTCACGTAAAAAATTTCTAAAAAAAAAATCAAAAAAATCTCTGAGAATTGTCCAGTCCGACTATTGAATGTCAGTCAGGGTCAGTGTTCATTATGGGGCTGTATTTTGTCGGCTTTAGCCAATTGATGTTTATTCAAGCGTTTTAGTAAAACAATGAATTGGTCATTATGGTATCGTAAATAATCAATCTACTTTTGGCTAAATTACAACGGGTTAATTATTACTTGTTAATTAAGAAGACAATCAACTTGCTTGTCGGTTACAACAACATAGTCATACCTTAGTGAGAATTGGCCTTATGTGGTTCATAATCCGATTAATTAGCACACGGTGATTTTGATAATTCGGTAAAATAAACAAAACAAGCTTGCTGATTATTCATAATAGGTTCAGTAAAATAAGCCACTTGACCATTGAGGACGGTGGCAGCAATGGTTTCTCAATTGTGTGTCTTGAATTCCAGGTACCGTTAGATATTCAAATAACAACTGGATAATACATTGATAGATTCACAGACCAGCTGTTAGGTAAATTTAAATCTTCATTGAATACATTGAGAGAGAAACAGTGGATATTTTCTAGACAGTCCATTGCCGAATTCCAATGACACGGGATATATTGGTTGGAATTATGTCAATAAACCACTTCTAAATAACAGCGTTTACCGTAATGATTTTTTTTATTTTATACACATTGAAGGCTATATCATAGTCGTACAGAATTTTATTTTATAGCAATTTCAGTTATGGTTGTCACGTTATCATTGTGCCGTTTGTCTATGATCGACGAAAGAATAAAAACTTTTGCAAGTTATCACGTGATGGACAACAGACTACAAATTGTGTTATAAAGAAATGCCACGCCGCCGTATCAGCTTATTTTGGCTACGGCATTTTCTGATACTGGCAATTAACAATAAACACAATTTTGTTTTTTAGTCAGTATTATTTAGATTCCAAAGATTCGCGCCGATTGCATATATGAGAATCCTCTTAGATTCTCGCAAAAAATGACAGATTTCTAGCCCTGAAATAACTTATCATTATATTTCAATTTCATTTGTAAGAGATGCTTACATGTACAATCAGACTCAGTGTTCACTTTAACACATCTTGGCAGAGGTAATGAAACAAATGACAGACCGTTTTCTCACTCAAGAATCTTCACTATTCGACTCGTTCGTTGTTCTTACATTTCCGACCCATGGTGATATTATAATTGACATAATATACAATTAAGCATGCTTGCATATTCCATGCCAAAAGAAGCCACAGTAAATGGAATTCAACTATGAAAATATTTAATTCTCTTCGGAAAGAATTGTCGGCCATATTTCTTTTTATTTTTTAAGACAAAACGAAACCTCAAATAATAGGCTTTATATAGATCATTGGCAATTATAAATCAACTATAGTATAATCATTAATCGAAGACAAATGATCAGTATAGTATTACTCAATGACACGATCCGGATTATCAGCTAGTTACTAAAAGTTATTAATTGATGTATGCCACCTGTTCGCCACATAGTAATGGTTGTGATTGACATTCAAATTTCACGGTAATGGTCAATATGTATATAAAAGTTAAATGTTCATGATTTATGTCTTCAATATTCTTTAAAAAATAACAAACTGAAGATTGGTCTTCATATAAATTCATAAACAACCGGTTTCACAACATAGTGATCATCAGGGTCACTTATACATTGTGTTGCTAATGGTATAGCGTTAACAATGGCAAGGGACGTGATTCATGACGACTTACGCAGTAAATGTGACGTCAACATGATTTCATGTTAGTTACAGTTTAATTTAGGGGTATATCCTTCAATAAAGAATCGTTCTTTGATTTTCCTCAGCTCTTCATTCTCTGTGTGCATTTTGTATATAGGACAGATTGTGAACTGGGGATTGCAATTCTTTGAGCATTCATCTATATGTGCTCTAAGGGGTATACATCTATAATATGGGGTTTTAATTTGTTGTTTATGTGCTCAGACTCTTGCTCTCAATACATCCCCCGTTTGACCAATATATTCTTCGCCACATCCAGCGCTTGTTATTACATATATTAGATTTCTAGTGGCGCAACACATATTATATTCCACTATAGCCCTTCGGGCTTCTCCGATTTATGATTGCATGTTTCTTGTGACGTCACTAGAATATGCACTAAATTCAACGTTTAAAGTAAACAAAACTCACACGTGCATGTGTATATAACCATCACGTGTCCCCAGATCAGGGTATATAAACAGTAATCTATCCATCATCAATGTCTTTTTTCTTGTTGATCCTAGACCATTGCACTACGTACGTTCCGTTGGTTCGTATTTCAGAATCGCTGATTCGTTTACCTTTTAGTTTTATTATCCATATTCTAGCTTTTTATCATTGTTGTAAGCGATCGTGGACTTATCGTTGATTTGTCCCTTATTTTTGTATTTATCGCTATCAATCCGTTGGGTTGATAATTACAAGCAGATATGGATAATTTTGAGGATGGTCACATACCATCTAATAACAACGATCTAATAATTGATTATGATCCTTTGGATTTTAATAATTTTGGTTTTGGTGACGACCTTAACCATCAATCGTCCAATGAAAACACGGCTGTCGTCAGCAATGTTTCTATCGGATTCCCCGGAAGTAGTATTACCAAGAAAGAATGTAAACAAACTCCGGTGAATACCAGAAAACGAAAGGAAGGTAAAATTACATCTATAAAGACGATCAAAAACCCCAAAAGTCGCAAAATTGAAGGTGATTTAGTTAGTGTGATTGATCCGACTGTTGTCGAGTCGGCTGAGAAGATCGCACCCAGAATAACTATTAAAAAAGCTCCCAATATTGCCAAGGTCACTCAGCGTAATACCAAGCAATCTAATTCTAACACTAGTAGTTGTCATACTAATGTTTTGCATTCTACTTTTAGAAAAAATAATCTTAGGCCTGCACCTAGTGCTATTGTCACAAGCAATCCTAATCAGCATATTGATATTCCTGTACCTATTTCTAATAATAGTTTTGGTTATAATTATGATGCACCGAATAATAATAATAATGTTCTCATTGATAGGACCGAATTTGATCAAATAAAACAGAGTCTGGCAGCCGTAAATGAGTTTTTACAATTCAATATGGGGGAACAAGAGGTTTATGTCAATAAATCAGATACAGGCCCATCTACTTCTTGTAATGCAACTGAAATGTATGATGGTGATGATTATAATGAACCAGTATTAGATATTGTTGACCCGCAATCCATGTATGACGAATTCCAAGAGGAACCGACTGAATCAGATTCTTTTGATGTGCCTAAAATTTTTCAGGGCGATGACTTTTATGGCAAGCCCGTTGGTGACAATTTGGTTAATTTAGTCAATATTGCGACTTCAAAAAAAATAGAGGTTAACAAATTGGTAACAAAATATCCAATCCCTGAGAATTGTAAGAGGTTACAACCTCCTCTGGTTGAACCTGATATTTGGCAGGTATTGCCCAGACCTGCTCAAGCGCAGGATAATTCACTACAGGAAGTGCAAAAATTAATAGGCCTGGGCATTGCCCCCTTACTAGGTTTACTACCCAAGTCTAATAACCAGGAATTTAAAAATACCCTGGTGGATTCAATTATCACTTTAGGCAATAGCATATTAGAACTTTCCCTTAGACGTCGGATATTTCTTAAGAAATTTATGAGTAGACGTTATCACCCTCTTTGCTCAACAACAAGACCTGTAGGAGAAACACTTTTTGGGCCTGATGTTGCCAACAGAATGAAGGAGATTGATCAATCTAATAGGCTTTCATCCTCTCTCAATTTGTCAGGACGTTTGAATCCTAGGTCTAATAGGAGATCTTTTTTAGGACAGGGTTTCCAGAACAGAAGACCTCAGGATCGGAGAGGAAACTTCAGGGGAAGACCCTATACAAGCAGGGGGAGAGTACGAGGAAGGGGTCAGAGACCATTCCAAAATCAATATCAACAGTACCAACAGCAATACCAATAAATAATTCAGTAAGTACTGATTTTACTGCTGGTAACATATCTAAATTTTACCATAATTGGTGTAATTTAACTTCTGATCAATGGATTCTTGATATTGTACAAGGCTATCAAATAGATTTTATATCTAAACCAGTTCAGTTTTCCATTCCGGGTTCGCCTCCCTTTAATGAGGAGCAAATGGACTTAATTGATGCTGAGGTTTCGACTTTACTAGCAAAAAACGCCATTGTTCGTGTCTTTAAATCTGACTCTGACCAATTTATATCAAATATTTTTTTAGTAGAGAAAAAGAATGGCAAATTTAGACCAGTCATTAATTTGAGATATTTAAATGAGTTTATTGCATATGAGCATTTTAAACAGGAAACTTTAGCCTTTACATTGAAAATGATTAAACCTAATGATTATCTTGCATCTATTGATCTCAGCGATGCTTATTTTTCAATCCCTATTTTTAAAGGTCATAGAAAATACCTTCGATTTGTTTGGCGAGATGTTCTGTATGAATTCACATGTTTGCCGTTTGGGATTTCGTCGGCGCCTAGAGTGTTTACTAAAACCCTGAAGCCTATATTTGCATGTCTTCGTGGTCAAGGCATTGTGTGTTCCTATTTTATAGATGATTCTATTTTTGCTGCTGATAATGAACAGGAAAGTCTGTTAGCAACTAATAAGGCCGCCAACCTTTTTAACAAGTTAGGGTTTTCTGTTAATAAAGAAAAATCACATTTTACACCTAGTAAGGAATTAGTTTTTCTCGGCTTTCTTATCAATACTGAGAACTATACCGTGTCTTTAACTCCTGAAAAAATTGATAAAATTAGATCACTTGCAAATGATATTCTTCTTGCACCTAAATTGACCATTCGTAAAATTGCTTCATTTATTGGGCTGTGTTCCTTTACAAGGACAGCTGTTTTAGTCGCGCCACTATTTATTCATTTCCTGGATAGACAAAAGAATGTGGCTTTAGCGTGCAGTAATTTTGATTATGATGCAGCTATATCTTTGAATGAAGAGATGAGATCGGAATTGCTCTGGTGGTATAATAGTGTCAAGTCTTTTAATGGGTTTTTTATTCAACCACCCAAAATTGCCATAACAATGAAAACCGACGCATCCCTTACTGGTTGGGGTGTAGTGTTAGGAAACTCTCAGGCTAATGGCCTTTGGAATCTTTCTGAATCAAAGCAGCATATTAATGCACTGGAGCTATTGGCAATTTTGTATGGCTTACAGTGTTTTTCCTCAATTATTGAATGGAAGCACGTTTCAATTTTGTCCGATAGTATGGTTGCTGTCTCATATATAAATAATGTAGGGGGATCAAGTGATCCATTATTTACTATTACTAAAGAAATATGGTTGTGGTGTTATAAGAGAAGCATTTTTTTGTCAGCTAAACATTTACCAGGCAAAGAGAATCAGACAGCTGATAGATTGTCTCGAGTTTTTTCTAACTCAACTGAGTGGAAACTTAACGAATATATATTTAATAAAGTTTGTAATAGATTTTTTCTGCCAGACGTGGATCTTTTTGCATCCAGAATAAATGCACAGATGGATTGCTATGTTTCCTGGGACCCTGACCCTTTTGCAGTTGCTTTTGATGCTTTTTCAATTTCATGGTCTAATTATCATCCCTATATGTTTCCACCTTTCAGTATTTTACCAAAAGTGCTTTCCAAGATGAAGGAAGATTGTGTCTTGATGGGTATATTAATAGTTCCAGCTTGGCCGTCCCAGGTATGGTTCCCTACTTTACTTTCCATGTTGATCGCCGAACCAGTGCTTCTACCTCTCAGGAAAGATCTCCTTCGTTTAGCACACAACAATTGCCTTCATCCTTTAAGGGGCAAACACATGTTCCTAACCGCTTGCCTTGTATCAGGCAATATCTCTCTAACCAAGGACTTTCAGACAAGTCTAGAGACCTCATTATTGGATCTTGGCGAGCAGGTACCAATAAACAATATGATCTTGCCTGGAAACGATGGTGTTTTTGGAGTATTCAGAGGAAAATTGATCCGTTGGATCCATCTGTAATTGATGTTATCAATTATTTGAGTTTTTTATCAGACCATCGTTCCTACAGTGTGGTCAATATTCATAGATCTGCGATATCACAGACTTTGCAAATTTTAGGCAAAATTACTCTGAAAAATGAGCCACTAGTCTCAAGATTCATGAAAGGATTGTATGACAAAAATCCGCCTAAACCCAAGTACACTTTTACTTGGGATGTTTCAGTTTTATTGAAATATTTAAGTTCTTTGTTTCCTTTGGAGGATTTACCTCTGAGACTATTAACATATAAAACAGTGGCCTTATTAGCTCTCGCTTCAGCCCATAGATGTCAGACTCTTACGGCTCTCACTATTAATGGTCTGATTGATAGTGGTTTCTGTATAACTTTGATCACAGATAAGGTCCTTAAAACAACCAAGGCCTCCAATCCATTAAAACTAATTAAAATTAAAAGTTTCAAAAACACAAAAATTTGTCCATGTTTTACTCTAAGACAATATTTGAAGTCCACTAAAAGCAGAAGAAAGTCTAAGCAACTCTTTGTGTCTTATGTAACTTTTAACTGTATTTCTGCTTCTACCATAAGCAGGTGGATTAAAGAAACTATGGCCCTTGCTGGAATTAATACTTCTGTTTTTTCTGCCCATTCTATGAGAGGAGCTTCGACTTCTAAAGCTTATTTGTCGGGCTGTCCAATTTCAGAATTGCTAGAGACTGCCAGCTGGAAGAATGAGCAGACGTTTTTTAAATATTATAAGAGGGAAGAGGTTACAGAAGCAAGTACAGTGTTTCAAGATTATGTTTTCTCTGATAAATGATTTACAGTATTAAAATTATTTAACTACGTTAAGTGTTAAGTGTTGTTTAATGTTACTAAGTGACCAACCCTTTAAATATGCAATCATAAATCGGAGAAGCCCGAAGGGCTATAGTGGAATATAATTCCACTCTCATCCGAGCGCCCGAAGGGCGCGAAGGATGAGAAGAATTATATGAATATATAGCCCGAGGGCTCGAGGATTTATCTTCCCTCCCTCTGTCCTCCCTTGGCTATATTATTCATTTGGTTGTCCACTTATGGTTACACTTTACTTTAAAAAGACATTGATGATGGATAGATTACTGTTTATATACCCTGATCTGGGGACACGTGATGGTTATATACACACGCACGTGTGAGTTTTGTTTACTTTAAACGTTGAATTTAGTGCATATTCTAGTGACGTCACAAGAAACATGCAATCATAAATCCTCGAGCCCTCGGGCTATATATTCATATAATTCTTCTCATCCTTCGCGCCCTTCGGGCGCTCGGATGAGAGTGGAATTTTCCATTATTATGAATTTTGAGTTATTCCTAAAGGTGAATGAATTTAGTCCCAAAATGTGTGAACATGTGCCGCAATTCGGCCTATTACATTTCGTGATACTTCCACCTAACACAGGTTTTTGATCAATATAGCACGCTTTGGATAACAGTTGTTTCAGATTTTTATTAAAAAATACGTTCCTCAACTTAATAGTCAATAAGTAACAATTGGCCATTAGCTTCATTAATTTTCTTAAATCTATCCCATGATTATCTTCCACTCATTGTTCTTAAATGGAACCCATATACTACAGATTAACACACGTGTGTACATGTTTTCTATTAGTTAACGATATACTATGTAATCATAGACAATGGTAACTATAGCCAATTAAAACCACAGTGTTACTATGTAAATATGTATAAATATACTATATTGTCCATCTTATACAATGACATTATTTATGAATAGTCCCAAGATGGACGAAAAGTACTTTAAAATGTTAAAATGTTATTAAACCAGTGTTGAAATCAGTTTTTTCGGCATACCTTTTATCTTTTCATCGTTTACCGTGAAACAAAGTAGTGCAGCGTTACGGTTGTGCTAATATTTCTGGAATATATATATATATATATATATATATTAGAATAGTTAATTAAAGCTGCTCTTTGGTAATATATAATTGAAATTAAAGATGGCAAAATAAAACTACATTTTTATGCTAACGTTTTCACCGCAATAGCGGCTCTTCAGGCATTTATTAAACAATAATTCAATTAACAATAGTCTATGACGTCACAATGTCATAGTTACATTATTATACAGGCAAGGGTAGTAATTTCTTAGCCTACAGACTACAAATATTCAATCCCACCACAGTCTTTATTTTATTTTATTTAATTTAATTATTCTCTTATTTAGAATTAAGTTTCGGGTGGTACTTCTCAATAAAATAGCTTTCTTTTGCCTCCAAGAGGTCGTTGTTTTTGCTATTAAGTCTATATAAAGGAAAAACACTAAATTTGCCCCCACCACATACTTCAAGATGCTCACTGAGTGGGATCATCCTGTATTTTGGTTGAAGTATGTGCTGTCGATGGAGGTTCATTCTCAACCTAAGCATCATTTGGGTCTTTCCTATATACCTTCCCTTGCATCCCGGACACGCTATAATGTAAATTACATAGTTCGATTGGCAATTCATTGCCTGTTTGATATAAAATGTATTATCATCATTAATTTTTATGGATGATCCCTAAATGATAATGTCACAGGTTTTACACTTTGAATTACCACATTTCGAAACTACTGGAATTGAAGCGACTGAATCATATTTAGAAGATGTTATAATCCTAGCTAGATTGGAAGGTTGCTTTAGACTGTTGATTATATTTGTTTTTCAATATTTTATCCATCGTTTGGCTATTTTTAAGGATATGGATGTAATTTTCAATGATAGACTTCCCATTTTCCTGGGACGGAATGAACATAGTAACTAAAGCAACGTTCCTTTTATCAGAGTCTACAGGAACTTTAGGTTGTCTTAAAATTCTTTGGTCCAGACTCAATGCTCTTTGGTTAGCATCGTCTATTAATTTACCTGGATATTTTTGTTTTAATAAGAAACCTTTTAGTTCCTGTAGTCTCTGAACTTTGACATCTTGATTGGACACAATAGTACAAATTCGTCTAGCTAAGTTATATGGGATGTTACGTTTCGATGAGGTGGGTGACAAGAATTAAAATTTAGATATTGATGTGTATCGTTTTTTTTGTAATACACATCAGTTTCAATTAGAGCCGTTTGCTGTGACATCCAGAAAATTTAATGTGGATTGACTCTGCTCAATTGTAAACTGAATACTGTCATCTAAACTATTTAACATTTCATGAAGCTCTGAGATGATTTCTTGAGATACTCTGAGTATCACAGAACAATCATCTAAGAACCGTTTCCATGAAGTCTTAATTAAATCACCGAATTCATTGGCAAACGTTTTTGTCACCCTCTCATACCATATTTCCTCAAGATAACCTAAAGTTAAAGTAGCATAGGTTGGGTCAACTTTCGTACCCATAGCGACTCCCTTGATTTGTGTAAAGTATAGGCCATTGAAGAAAAATATGTTATTTGATATCACAAGATTTAATGTACGGAGGATAAAATGAATTTGAAAACCGGTCTGGTATGAGGTCTGCGTGGTTATTTAGCCAATATTCGACAGCTTTTAGTCTCAGATCTTTGCGTATATTGTTATATAAACAAGCCAACAGTGAGGCTGATGTCCCCCGCCGAAATCCCAAATAAATAGATGAAACATATTAATTAATCGCACATCTATTTTTTTCAAAAAATGAAATGAAATGAAAATGAAATGAAATGAAATGAGAGTTTAACGTCCTACTGTTCTGCTCCTAACCTGGGCTAATGAAGACGGGCATACGCCATACAGTGTGCTATGAGGGAAATTTTGCCGGGACAGCGGCACTACGGCCTACTCTTATAGAATTCCAACTGCCAAGGGATTTTTTACGTGCACGCCAATGTGTACACGGGACCTCGGTTTTTCGTGCCATCCGAACGACTAGACAGCTTTCCTTGTCAGCCCCTTCGTCCTGCATCACTGACAAGGGAGAACCACGCCGGAAAATCTGGATGAACTTTCTCGGCTAATGCAGGGATCGAACACCCGACCTCCAGGCTAGCGAGCTAAAGTATCGAGCAATCAAACTGATTATCAACTATACACTAAGTTTCATCACTCTCTATCAGATAGAATCAAAGTTATCTTGTCCCAAAGCATCGACCAAGGAAATTGCTTATCTCTGCTTAGCTTTAGCTCAATATGTTAATCATTGAACTCAGTCAAGACGAACATCTACATCAAGTTTAAACATTCTACCTCAATTAGAAGCAGAGTTGTTATGTTCCAAAGTCTTGACCAAACAAAATGCTTATTGCTCCTTAGCCTAAGCAGACAATTCTCATCATCGAACTTAGTCAAGGTATTGATGTAATGAAACTATACACCGAGTTTCATCACTCTTACTTAATTAGAACTAAAGTTATCGTGTCCCAAAGCATCAACCAATCAAATTGCTTATCTCTACTTACCATAAGCAGAAAATGCTCATCTTTGCACTCTATCAAGGCATTGACCCAATAAACACCTACACCAAGTTTGAGCATTATAGCTCAATTAGAAGGAGAGTTATTGTGTTCCAAAGTCTTGGCCAATCAAATTGCTTATCGCTCTGCTTACCCAGAGCAGAAAATGCTCAATATCGAACTTAGTCAAGGTATCGATGTAATGAAACTATACACCAAGTTTCATCACTCTCACTAAATTGGAACTAAAGTTATCGTGTCCCAAAGCATCCACCAATCAAATTGCTTATCTCTACTTACCCTAAGCAGAAAATGCTCATCTCCACACCCCTTTAAGGCATTGACCTAATAAACACCTACACCAAGTTTTAACATTTTAGCTCAATTAGAGGGAGAGTCATTGTGTTCCAAAGTCTCAGCCAATGAAATTGCTAATCGCTCTGCTTACCCTGAGCAGAAAAAATGCTCATTATCGAACTTAGTCAAGGTATTGATGTAATGAAACTATAAACCAAGTTTCATCACTCTCGCTTAATTAGAACTAAAGTTATCGTGTCCCAAAGCATCAACCAATCAAATTGCTTATCTCTGCTTACCCTAAGCAGAAAATGCTCATCTTCGAACTCCATCGAGGCATTGACCTAATAAACACCTACACCAAGTTTGAACATTCTAGGTCAATTAGAAGGAGAGTTATTGTGTCCCAAAAAGTGTGACGGACAGACAGACAGACAGATGGACGAACCCATTTTAATAGTCCCCTGCTTTCTTCAAAAGGCGGGGGACAATTAACTACATCAAAGCTAATAATTGTACTATCAGGTTCTACATGTGCAGGTAGTTGATGTAGAAAATCTATATCATCGCGAAGAAAGCTTTTAACGCGAGAACATAATGGTTTTAAGATGATGTCTATAAATTTGCTGAGTCGTTGGGTACTGCTGTTGGGCCCCCCTACAATTGGTCGAAATTTTAGGTCTTCTGGACTAAGTACTTCAACAACTTCATTATTAGATTGTTTGACAGCTTCTTCTATCAGCTTACTCTTGTGCACTTTTGGTAGACCATAGAAGTAAGCTGTGGTAGGTTCAAAATCCTCTAAATATTCCTGAGCTTCTCCTTTATGCAGAGGCTTTGCGTTTTTAGTGATAAATTTCACTATTTTTTTTCTTTACAGCATTGTTATCTTCGATGCTCGATAGCTGGTAGTATTCAGTGTCATTCAGCATTTTTACAATGTTCCCTTCATAGAATGAGCTGTCCATCATTACTATAGCTCCTCCCTTGTCAGCTTGTTTGACAATTATATTTGGATTGTTCTTCATCTCGTTTAATACCTTTAGCTCACCCTTACTTAAATTTTGTTTGTAGAGCCTTGGTTGAATTTTGTGAGATGCAATAGAAGTAATGAAGTTATCTAGATGTG